TGTGTGTGTGTGTGTGTGTGTGTGTGTGTGTGTGTGTGGATGCGCTCTAAGGTTTTTGATAATGCTGCTTAAACATCTTGAGTGAACGAGCTGAAAAATAAACCAGTGGTGAAAATATCTATGATGATGTTAAAAAAAACAACTGATAAAGTAGATGGAATAAAACTGTAGTAAACTTGAACAGACGTCAAAATAAACTGTGTTGTCATTTGTCTTGGGACCAGAGTCAGGAAGTACCTTCATATACTTGTATATATAAATACACACACACATACAAATATACTATATCATGTGATGAATAATAATGTCACGTGTTAGTACTGTGTTGAGCTTCAGGTTTTCATAACTTAAAACACTGAAATTTTACTTTTTCATGTCGTCATTGTATGAAAGTGAAAAACTAAAAACACATCAGTGTCATGTTATTACATGAAACATGTTATTACATGAAACATGTTATGATGTAATATGTTATAATAACATACCATCATGTCTACCTCCCTTAAAGGAGAAGTTCCAGCATATGGTTTGTAGATCTACTCACCCATGACGGTTTGGAGTAACTTGGAGTCCTTCGGACGCTTTTAGATCCTCACGCGATCGGCGTATATCTGTACAACGCAAGTGACTGGGGCATCCACGATACAGCCTCTAAATAACCATTATCTGCCATGAAACTCTTTATTTACTATGAATCTCCAGCACTAGTCCCCTGTGAGTCCTAGTTGCTTTGTTTACATCCCGGGCTTTCACTGGGGTGATGTCACCGAGGCGTGCAGCCGCAGATCAGCTGACGATCAGCTGTGTTTGTTTACACGGAGTTTGTTGCTGCTAGTTTTGCGCAACATGACAGAATACTTATCAGGTGCTTCACAGTACAGTGTTCTTTTAAAGCAGCTGTGTCCTGGTGCTCGGGCGTATTCACCCGGTTAGAGGCTAGCTTACTTCAGCGGGCTAACGAGCAGCCTCGGAGCTAGCGTTAGCTCAGCGAACCGAGAGCGAGTTGTCTTCCTGTTTAATCAATCCTATCCTAATCTTTTTTCTCCATCCTTTCTCCTCTTCCTCGTGTTTTCTTCATCCCAGTTTTCCTCCTCTTCCTCGTCTCCCGTTTGATGCACACACACTCACACACACAATCATGCTGCTGTGAAGTTCAGAGCACGTCAGACCTTGTGTGTGTCTGTGTGTGTCTGTGTGTGTGTATTGGTCTTTGTTGATCATTGTGTTACAGCAGGTCTAGGTCATTGCACGTAGAGAGAACTGATCCCCTGAACAGTAGTTTGTGTACTAAGTGTAATTTGTGTAACGTGTGTGTCTGCTGTAAAGACAGTTTGTTAACTTGAACCCTACATGAAATATTTGCACATATTGAGTTTCCTTAGTGACCAAATACTAAACATAAGTTAATGTTCTCTGTCTAATTCATCGATAACTGATCTGAATACTTTTGGAGTACATCAAAGTAAAACACAGAAATGTATTAGAAGAGTTTCACACCAGAGATTATTGAAAATGTCATATTCAGTATTCACGGAGTTTTTCATGGATATTTCAGTTGATCATAAACGATGAACCTCAGTCAAACACGTCAGCATCTTTAATATTCACAAAGAAACCAGGTCGTTCAAACTGTTTCCTGTTAGAGTGTAAATAAAGGTTCATTTAAATATGTGTTGTGAGTAAGACCTTATCAGTCTCTGGTGGAGTTTCCTCTAGGACAGGAAGTGGACTCTGTTTCCTGTTCTGTCCTGTGTGTGTGTGTGTGTGTGTGTGTGTGTGTGTGTGTTCCCCAGGAGGGTCTAAAAAGAACAATCAGTGTAGAAAGAGAAAGAACAAGAATGTGGAAGCTAAAATAAGTCAGAGAGAACGATGGAAAAACAAGTGAGACACAAACGCCAAGAAGCTGAACAGGACCAGGACTGAACCACTACAGGACCAGGACTGAACCACTTCAGGAC